TCAAAAGAAAGAAAGAAAGAAAGAAAGAAAGAAAGAAAGATTGAAAGAAAGAAAGAAGAACGAAAGAACGAAAAAAGGAAGAAGAAAAAAAAGGCGAAAAATAAAGAAAAAAGAAAGAAAGAAGGAAGAAAGGAGATTGAAAGAAAGAAAGAGGAAAGAAAGAAAACACAAAGTAAGTTTGAAAGACAGAAAGTTTGAAAGAGAAAAAGAAAGAACGTTTGAAACAAAGAAAAAAAAGAAAGATTGAAAGAATGAAAGAAAGAATGAAATAACAAATCGATGGAAGAAAGAGATAAAAACTAAAGATAGAAAAATTCAGAGTGAACGAACAAAAAAACGAAAATTGTAAAAATTCATACGAAAGAAAACTAAAGCAAAGCAAGCAAGAAAGAAACGAAGAAAAGGAAAGAAGAAAAAGACGAGAAGGAAGAAAGAACAGAAAATAAGTATGAACAGAAAACATGAAAGTATGAAAGAAAAATTAAATGAATTAAATACAAAATAAAAAAAAAATGTAAGTCCGTGTTACTGACCTATTCTCATTGTCGTCTGATTCACAACGTGAATGAAATAACCAAATTGTGTCATTTAAAAATACATTGAAAAGAAAGCGAAAGGCCAACCAACACTAAAAGCCTGCCACTGAGATTAGATTGGATAATAGATCGCTGTCAATGTTTATATAACGAACAGCGACTATTCGTTGATTTACTCAATAATTAAACCAAGTTAGTTGATTAGTGAGGACACGTGAGTATCAGTTTTGGTTTCGTGTTTGCAGAAAATGGGTCATTTACTGAAAGATATTCTTTTTTATATTCTGCGTGTCAACATAATGTCTCATCTTCTCGCATGTATAACGATTTTTTTATCACCGTGAATATGGAGTGGGTGATCGATTTTTAATGCTTTGAAAAAAAAAAAAAATAAACTGAGTATCTGAGGTATCATGGTATCAAAAAATACTCTAAAGCAAGATGCTTAAACAACTATATTCACACATTCATCAAGTGTCTTATCTCTTTGAGCTAGCTTTGTTACAGAAGACAGTGGATAATTTCCGTGATACAGAATATATTCGAAGACAGATAGATCGATAGATATACAGATCGAGAGATAATCAACAAATCTAGATAGATAGATAGATAGATAGATAGATAGATAGATAGATATTGTTACTATTATTATTATTTTATTATTATTTATTATTGTTTCTATTATTATTATTATCTTATTATTATTTATTTTTGTTAATATTATTATTTTATTATTATTATCTATTATTGTTACTATTATTATTATTGGAAATTATTTTTAGATTTACATTTTTATTTATTATTATTACTATTATTTTATGTTATTTATAATCATTTTATTATTATTGTTTATATTACAATATTTTATTACTATTACTATTATTTTATTATTATTATTTTATTATTATTATTATGAAATATTTTTTTTAGATTTTTATTTTATTATTATAATTATTATTACTACTATTTCTTCTTATTTTATCAATATTATTATTATAAATTATGTTTTAGATTTTGTGAATGGGAATTTTTTTATTTTTAGATTTTCATTTTTATTTGCTATTATTATTACTGTTATTATTATTATTATTACAAATTATGTTTTCTACTTTTGTAGATTTAGATTTTTTATTTATTATTATTATTACTATAATTTTATTATTATTTTTACTATTATTTTATAATTATTATAATAACTTATGTTTGTTATTTTTACATTTAGATTTTATTTATTATTAGTAGTAGTAGTATTTTATTATTTTTCATTATTAATAATTTATTATTATCATTATAGATTATTTTTAATTTTAAATTTATTTCTTCTCATTATTATTATTATTATCATTATTATTATTTTTTTTATTAATATTATTTTATTATTATAAAATATATTTAGATTTATTATTATTATTATTATTATAAATTGTTTTTATTTTTTAGATTAAATTTAAAATTTTTAGATTTATTTTGTCACTGTTGAAAAAAAAATCATCCTTGTTTAATTCATTATTCTATAGAGTCGAATGGTTGGAACGTTCGTTTTCGAATCAGGAGACTCGGGTTCAACTCTCCCCATGGTATTTTTGTCAGGAATTTTACTTCTTCACGTTATCGGCCAGCGTCCGACACAAATAGAAGGTACTTGTTAACCACATCACGTGTTTATCCAAGCCTTGAGTGGGTCCTTTTCAACTGACATATAAGCGGAAAGAACATACTGAATCGATTCTTAAATCTGCAGCTAAGAAAGTTGGTACCATTTTCTCGTACTAGTCAATGTTTCTCATCAGAATTTATCTTAAATATTTAAATTGAATATTGTTCCCACATCTGTCCTCGTACTCTTGCTATATACTTAGTGATTCTTGATAAAATCTATACAAGAATCTGCAATGTTATAGCTCCTGACCTGGCATCTCGGCTTTAGTCCCTTTCCCAACGCCGCAATATAGGTTCCCTCTGCCTTTTCTATAACAATATTCAAGGTAATTATTCCGATGAAATTTCCGCCATGAATTTAACCGTTCTGCTAGACTGGCGTTACAGTCTGATCATTTTACATTTGAAATGGATATAGATATAACTGTAACTTCTATGCTAAAATTTTCTTTTATCGCATTTCGCGCATGCGGAACTTACTTCCGGATTCTTGTTTCTCAGTCAACTTTGATCTTCAAAAATTTATATGCAATATCAGTCATTATCTTCCATCTTATTAATTCTTTTTTCTTCTTCTCATATTAACGCAACATCTTGCGTACTACCGGCCTTATTACTTTGCTCACGGTGAAATAGTTTTTTTTTAAAAATTGGGGTAGACGAAATTGCTAGTAGACTGTTGTGCTTGTATTGCATTACAATTATCGTTATCGTGTTTTTGAGTGTTGTTCACGTCAGATATTGCGTTTTCTCACAGCAACGGTAACTAAGGCCCGTTCAGCCTAATTACAGCATAAGCAAAAGGTGTGCCCTTTGGGTGTTGAACAAAATCTGAGACAAAGATTACCTAAGCATACTAGCAGGGGAACATGTACCACGCATGGCAAATAGCTGAACTGATATTCACGTATGTGCTAATACCCTTGGGATAGGTATGAATTCTCTTCTTCTCCTCCTAGCTATGCGTAAATAGGAGGGCTGACCCGGTTCTATAGCCTTTGATGGCAACTGGTCTACCTCAGAAAGAAATGGCAACCTACTGCGGGAAAAAAATCTGCCTCGTCAGTCATGTATTGAAAGATACCTGATCGCCTAAGCGTGTATCACGCATGACACATAACTGACTGATGCCCAAAGTGTCTGTTCAGGTTTTATGTTTCTCCAGATTCTTTTTTTTATTGTTGTCTGAAAAGTGCCATTATTTCTGGGACAAAGAGTGAGATAATTTCCGTCTAAGAAAATAAAGTACTGGGGTTACCAGACTTTTTTCACAGAGGATAAGATAACTGAAAGAATGACTAGCGCCAAGCCGGGTAACCATTTTCTACAATACAATACACTGAATACACAAATACAAAGACAACAATATTTATTTACCAAAAAGTTACCAAAGAAAGCAACATTAGCAATAAAATAGTTATACCAAACCCAGTGCGCACATATCCGAATCTCACAGACTAATCAGCCAAAAACTTTAGTTAGAATTTTGATACTAGCGTTTACCTTTTAAAATATAATCGATAGTTGCTTTGGAATTGACGCATCCAACCAAGAGAATTGCCTTCAAATGTTTACCATTCAACCTCGTTATATGTGCTGACTTTACACACTTCATTTATTAAAATGTTTGCTCAGAGACATAAGTTGATGCAAACACTGATCCCATACCAGATGCAAATTTCTTCATATTTGAAAACTCATCATTAGGTAAGCTGATATTTAATTCAAGAAGTTTTCTTTTCCTTCCGCTTCTCTTTCAACAAGACGCTTGTAAATCAATGAGTTCCATATAACTCTCAAGTCTCGCGAGATGTGAAGATCTTTCTAAAAATGCTTATTTAAGTTATGAATAATCTTCTTCGGAAACTCGAGGTAGACATCTTCCAGTGGCAAAACTCTTTGAAACACTGGAAATTGTTTCATTCCAGTTCGCTGATCTTTTCTAAGACTTATATTTCTGTCAGATGCAAAAATTATATTGGCTAAATTTTGGCATTTTTATATTTGTTTTATTTTTGTCTACAGTGTATTGATAATTCCATATAAATAATTATATTTTAGCTCATTTGCGGCAAACTGCGGCAGCAGTTCGGATGAACTGCCATCGCGGACTGTAGTTTGGTTAACCCTATCCTAGACTGACAGCTTTTTAAGTCCAGCGAGTTCATTCTCTCTGGAACTTTAAATAGGCTCTCTGTGTCTATGTTGGATTTGTTTCCTGAATGGCATATCAACACATGGCTCATTTACAGCTGTAATTTAATTATCTTGGGAGCTTTGAAATAAGAAAAATATGTTATTATGCTTTCACAATTGAATACATGGTAGATGATACTCAACTTTTGTGCATGTACATGTTCGTGAGGACATAATTACTAATGCGGTGATATGTGTGTTCTATGTTGTAGCCTTGTTATACTTTGGAATACCGTTTCATTTAAGAAATTGGGGATATCATATGGATTAATGCCATGAAGGAGTTCTCTCATGTCGGCTGTTTGGTGATCAGTTGATATTCTTTAGCGGCATATCAACACCTCTATGGGTTATTTAATGTCGAATTATAAATAACTTTCAAACACAGATAAAATGTATTGTTGGTCATTCTACGATAAGTAGGTATTGTTGATAATTTATAATACATATATATATATATGGTATTTTTAGCATAAAATGTTTTATACTTTTATAGGGTTTTGTTTCCGTTTGGGGGTTCAGTATTTTCCCACAGCTGGTACCCTGGGAAAATTGCAGTTAAGAGGTGGTTTCCCGCGACTCAAAACTCCCAATCTCCCGATAAGATGCTTTGCTGCAGGATGTAGTTTATCGTTATACCCAGGAACTTTCTCCAACTCCAAATTCGACGCCTCTAACCTTTATACCAAATATACTTCTCGAGATGTAATTGAATTATAATAATAGCTGAAAAGAAACTAAACCTTGAGAAGAAAAGAAACTTTATCTTATCTCCTGATGAAAATACGGTAATGTAATTAAAAAGAGAGTTTAAAATAGCGGTTTGAAAAAGACCCTTTAACATATGTCATATCAAATTTCATTGGTTGATTAAATTTACAAAATTCGAACCCTTCTGGATAATCTAATATCGTATTTCTCTGTGGGGCACACAGTTAGGATCAAACTCAATTTCTGCCAGAATTTCTGGGATGAAGTTATCATCTTCCAGTATTTACATTCAGATCATTGTCCTCATCTTTATTGTTATTTTTGCGATGCCAACGAACACTCGTTGCCACTTCGTCTAATGCCAAGGAATACTCGTTGACACCTTCATAATGCTCGTTGTAGTAGAGACTTTGTAATGGCAGATACCACTATAGTACGCCGTTGAACAAAACTAGTGTCAGACGCCTTCGGATAACACTTGCGCCAATAGTACTTGCTCGATAACACTAGCTTGACAAGTAACCCGTGTAGTGATCCGAATAGATATATAGTATAGTGAATAGAGTAGAGAATAGCGATCCGTATAGTAAAAGAGGATAGAGTACAAATGGTGACCTGAAGAGTAACAGAGGATAGACACAGAATAACGATCGTTAGTCGGCATCAACTTCCTACATGTATTCCTTTATGGTCATGTGGTTTACTAAATTCAATAATGGAATCGACTGTGTTTGTTCACTGGCGATCTATGTTCAAACTCAAGTGTCGGCAGCGACACTTTATTCCTTATATAATAATTATCACAATTTTTCCGTCTCCAGCAGGTGTAGATCAATCTAGATAACCTTCAGGAAATTGGGAACTGTACCCTTTAGTGGAGTCATCAGACAGTTTGGAACGAAATGAAAATACTGGACAAGGAAGAACATTGGAGAGGTAGACGTCTGACAGAATCAATCCCTTTCAGTTCATTAAATGTCCAATTTTTGAACGGGCACCCAGTGAGAATCGAATTCAATACGCTCTTAACGACTCGTTTATTTAGTCAGTACCCTAAGCCAAGGGATTAGTTGGGT